CCTTCCAAATTCATGTACAATCCGATGTGACAAAATCCCCTTCCAATATCTCTATAATCAGATCAAACCGCGACCCCGATCCATTACGGTCGGTGGTAACAAAACCTTCTTTGTTAGCAGGGTTGTTTCCTTTTCTGTCATTCCTCTTTCCCCGATACACCACTTGCATCCACAGCCCAAATTTTTTCCCTTGTGCCACTGGCAGTGGCAGAACAATCCTGGTATTTTCTTCAGGACAAGTCTCCCCATCAGCGATAACCTCCTTAGACTTCTTAGGGCATTGTTCACGAAGGTGGTCGTAACATCCGCACTCAAAGCAGATCGTCGGCAGCCCTTCATACTCCACCCTCTGAAGGTGCCCCTCGATCTGGATTTTGGAGACCAGGTATTTGGTGAGGTCCACCGAGACGACCAGACATGCAAACTTCCTCCACTCTGTCGATTCTGTATTATAGTCTATCCTCACCACCGTGCCGATTGCCTTAGCGATGGCTCTCAACATGCTTTTGTTGTAATATTGGATGGGTAAACCAGGGAACTAAACCTAAACAACCACCAATGTGACTCTGTCTTCCTCAACTGAGAAAGACATTGTCCATGGTTGCACTATTAGGTAGTGCCCGTAGATGACCCAGGGGCCTGCCGTAAGTATATGTGTATAATCATTCGGATCACTAAACTTAGCCAGGTAAAAATTATTCTCTATATCAATCAGCTGAAATGTTCCAATAGGCCACCATAAGCTCTGGAGATGGTTGAGAAGAGGGCGGTAGCTAATGGCTCTGCCCAGCAATCTGATGACCGTCGAGTTCCTTATGGATTGAGACAAGTAATTATGGACTCTATCTGAGAAGGCCACTATTGGAAAGTCGTAATCCGTAGCCAGGATCATGTCGTCATCCTTGATTTCAAAATCATTTTGCTTCTTCTCCATTTGTTTTGTATTGGTAAGTTTATCCTTGAATGATTCTCGATTTCATTCCCAGAGTCGATAAAGACCCATTCTTTGTTGTTCATATTCCACCCGGCCTCTATCCTCCGATTCTTTCAGTTCCATGTCACTGGCCTCCTCCACGTTCACGTCCAAATTGTGTTCCCTTACCATCTCACCCATTGGTGCTAGGCGATCGAGTCCATCCCTTATTTTCACCTTCTTTTTTGAATGGTCATCATCCAGGCACGGTGACGTTGTGCCTTTCTCAAGAGAAATGTCATTTAGAAAGAGAATTTTTTGTGAAGGAAAATTTCATAGCGAAGAACTCTTTTAACCGCTTACAAATATACTTGGGTTGGATTCCGGATTAATCTAGATAACATACTTACAGCATACATCACGTCTGACCTTGTGGCTATTAGGTACAATAAGCTACCAATCATACTTCTGTATTGCTTTGTATCAGCTTCTCCAGAGTCATCGTCCTTATTAAATTTATTCTTTTGAGCCAAGTGTGTTGAAACAGGCTTGTAATTTTCCATTTTAAACTTTCTTAAGATTGTTGGCATATTTTTTTTTTACATATGAAGATTCCTACATCTGTTTGATTGACCTCCATGCTAAAAAAGTAATTCATCATACCAAGATCAGTCATTTCGAACTGCTTCATCATATCTTGCTTGAATGTTTTTATCATAGATGAGTTGTTTCCTGTAATAATAAGGTCATCCACTTAAACTGAGAGGATAAGGATATTTGATCCTTCTAACTTTATGTATAATGTAGCCTCATTCGGAATTCTTCTAAACAATTGTTGAATAAAATACCCATTAATTCGACTATACCATGCTCGAAGAGCTTGCTTAAGACCATATAACGTCTTTTTCAGCCTTAAAAATTTGTCCTCTTTTCCCTTGATCTTGAACTGTGGGGGTTGTTCAACATAATTTTTTTCTTGAAGAAATCCATTGAAAAAAGCATATTTTATATCAAATTGATAAATCTTCCATCTTCTTTGTGTTGCAAGAGCAATAATAATTCTGATTGTATCTTGTCTTGAGACTAAGGCAAAAGTCTCATTATAGTTTATGCCAAATTGTTGTGAATATCCTTTTGCTACCAATCTCGCTTTATACTTTTAAATCGAACCATCTGGATTAAGTTTTGCCTTAAATATTCATTTCATATCTATTCGGTGGTTTGGTTTGTAGTTACCACGTCTGGTTCTTCTCGATCATGCAAATTTTTTCCTTCACGGCATTTCTCCATTCTTCATGTTGAGATGTTTTTTCATAACAATTTGGTTCATGAGTTGTAAAACAACATAATTTACATTGTTCAGCATAAAGATCAGAAATACTTTCAGTATCTCTATATAATTCTAACAATCTCCTCAATTTCTTTGGTGGTGTGTCAGATAAACTATCATACTCATATATATGAAAATTAGTATCGTCTGAGCTATTACTAGACTCTTTCTAAGAATATTGACCTGTTTGATTGACTGGTGTTGATGTTGGTGGCGAAGCTTCTTATTAGAATAGTTGAATTATGATATACTTCCTATCAATACCATTATGTTCCTAATTCCAAGAAGCATTTTTATCAAACACATCATCTCTATTAACTTAAACTTTGCAAGTGTATGAGTCGTACATGTTATATCCTTTTTATTAAGAACTATAACCAAGGAATATTCCTTTTTGTGCTTTATCATTAAGCTTGTGTCGTTTTTCTGTTCGTACATAGATGTAACAAATACACCTAAATACTCTTAAGTGACTTATAGATGGTTTATGTCCAGACCATGCTTCAATAGGTTTACATCCTTTAACAGCCTTTGTAGATAGCCGATTTTGGAGATAAACTGATGTATATACTACTTCAGCCCAAAACTTGTTAAGTAAACCTCTATCTTTCAGCATCGACCTTGCCATATCCATCACAGTTCTGTTCTTTCTTTCTGATAGACCATTTTGTTGTGGAGTATATAGAACAGTAAGTTAATGATGTATACCTTCCTCATCATAAAATTTGTTAAATTCTAAGGATGTATACTCCTTCTCATTATCACTTCTAAGATTCTTAAGCTAACAAGAACTTTGTTTTTCAATAAAACTCTTGAATTTGCAGAAAGTTTTGAAGACCTCAGACCGATCTTTCATAAAATAGACCTATATCATCTGAGAGAAATCATCAGTATGCACTAACTCGAGTTTCTTTAATGCTCTCCATGTTTATCCCATTAGAAACGATTACCTTGTCATTTTTTCCAATTGACAACAATCACATATGCCACTTGTCTCTGAAATGATAAGAAGACCTTTCACTATATGTTTCTATGAAAGTAGTTTCAAACTCTGAAAGTTACTGTGTTCGAAGTACTTGTGCCATAACCATGCTACCTCGTCCATCTGAGCATGCATTGTTTTTTCCCTTGTAATGTACTGACATTGTATAGGGATACTTCTTTGTTGCATTTTCACGCAAACAATTAAGTTTTCCTTTAGATCGAATATTGAACAAGAGCCACCCTTGAACTGAAATAAATACCCACTTTGTATCATTTAAGGAACACTAAGTAAATTTTGATCTAAATAAGGGACATATAGGACATCTTTGATCAATCTCGTGCCTTTATTCATTTTTACAACAATAATACCTTTGCCTTCAGATTTTACTGTAGCTTTATTCCCCATTTTGATAGAAACTTTAATGGAAGTGTTTATTTCGCTAAATGCATTTGAACACTTGGTCATATGATTAGTGCATCCATTATCAATAAGCTAATCATCTTTCTGTTTGGATATGTTCTGATGAGCATAAAATAGTCGATCTTCTTCATCCATAGTCTCTAACACGTTTGCTTGCTACTTTTTAAATCTGCATTGTGCCCCATGTGACTAAATTTCTTGCAGAAACTATATTGTGATTTTTCTTTATGCCAGCAATTCCTTTCTTCATGATTTTATTTTTTATAAATTTTACAATAAAGTGATTTACCTTTCTTTTCTCCTTTGTTGTTCCCCAAATTGTATTGCCTTAGACATTTTTTTTTATTTGATCTTGAGGAAGAAGGTTATGCTTCAACTGCAAGGCTCCT